TTCTTCTATTAGATTAATTGTGGTTTACAGGTTTTGCACTCCATATTCACCTTCTTGCAAACCAAATTCTACCTATTTACCAATATTTTATAAAGATGTAGGTCTACTTGAAACAACCAGTCAGTCACCTTTCACCATTTGTTTCAGTATGATTTTTCATATGAGCTTACCGAAAGCAAACCAACTATTTTAATGCTTTTAATAAATAGAAATGGGTGTGCCGGCAGCCTCATTTGAAATAACCCTATACAATGCCTCGTTGTTCTTAAAAAAAAAAAACAGAAAACAAAAATACGAAAAGTTGTATTCAACAACAATACCCCTAAACAAAATTTATGAGAAAAGTTACAGTTAACAGAAGCGCAGAAAGACCTTTTTTTTTGTTTTCTTGCACCCAGTTTACTCTGCTAAGTGGAAATTTCGGTGTTGAAGTTATAGTACACGAAATCTCGAATTTAAAATTTCAAGTTTCATCTTTGAAACTTCGAGTTTGAGTTAAAATTCAAAATTTCGTTTTAAAATTTAAAATGTCTTGTTTTAAACTCGAAATTTCGTATTTCAAACTCGAATTTCAAATTTAATTTCGAAATTTCAAGTACGAATTCGAAATTTCGTGTTCGAACTCGAAAAACTAAGTTTGGAGTCGAAATTTGGAAATTTGGAGCATTAAGGCAAATAAATATGATTGATTGTTTCTAATACATGTATTTATAAAATAATATTGATATTAAACAATTTTATGTAATAAAATATTTCGATATTGAACTTGAACTCGAGTTTAAGTCACAAAATCTCGAATTCAAAATTTCTAGTTTGGTCTTTAGTATTCGAATCTAAGTTAAACGAAGTTTCGTGTTCAAATTTGAAAAATCGTGTTTTAAACTTGAAATTTTGTGATTTAAACCCGAATTTCAAGTTTAATCTCGAAATTTCAGGTCCGTCCTTGAAATTTCGTGTTTCACAGTCAACATTTCGAACTCTAAATATTAAGTTTGTAATCGAAACTTGGTGCATTAAAGCAGATAAATATGATTGGTTGTTTCAAATACATATATTTATAAAATAATGAACCCATGCTTTTTATTTTTTCTTAATTTGTATTTGTTTTTTTTTATTGGATACGTCAACTAACAGCTAAAGACCAATTGCACGTTGAAAACAATACAATAAAGTGTTTCGAAATTAAACTTGAAATTTCGAGTTTGGAACACGAAATATCGATTGATCAAACAAGATTTGATCTTCTAACTTCCAAATTTGCGTTAAAATTCGCAATTTTGTGTTCAAACTGGAAATATCGTGTTTTAAACTGGAAATTTTGTGTTTCAAGCTAGAATTTCAACTTTCATCTCGAAATTTCAAGTACGAATTCAAAATTTCGTGTTCGAACTAGAAATTTCATGTCTAGTTTCAAAATGGACAACTCGAACCGAAATATTAAATTTGTAGTCAAAATTTGGTGAATAAATGCGTCTTCAAACTTCAAATTTGAATTAAAATTAGAAACTTCAGGTTCAAATTTGAAATATCGTACTCGAAACTCGAAATTTTGTATTTCAAGCTCGAATTGCAAGTTTCATCTCGAAATTTCAAATTCGAACTAGAAATTTAGTGTTTGGTTTCAAAATCGACGTTTCGAACTCAAAATATTAAGTTTGTAGTCAACATTTGGTGCATAAAAGCGTCTTCAAACCTCAAATTTGAGTTAAAATTTGAAATTTCGATTTCAAATTTGAAATATGCTTTAAACTCGAAATTTTGTGTTACAAGCCCAACTTGTTAGGTTTAATCTCGAAATTTCAAGTTCGACTCGAAAAATTAAGGTTGGGTCGAAATTTGGTACATAAATGCTTAATTTTTTAATATTTTTCTTTATTTATTTATTTGAATACATTAACCACCATTAACTAACAGCCAGAGGTCAATTACAAGTTGGAGACAATACAATGTAATAAAATGTCACAAAGATAACAAATGCAATAATACAAAGTAAATAAAAAGTTGAAAGCGCACAGTTAACTAAAATTTTGAATAGATTAAAGTAATAATATAAACCAAAACAACATTTTTCTGTACAAGAAAATATGTCAATATTCTAAAGGTCGATATAGTTAGCACCACAGACGTTAGCACGCATACCAGATGTAAATATCGGACATAACATAATTTCTGGACAAACGTATTTATTGTTAATTAATTTATTTATACATGTTTTAGTTTCCAATAAAACTCTACTTTAATCTGCAAACGGTTCAATTTGATTTCCAAACGAATGTATGGTCTGCCAAAAGTTCATCTATTATACGTAATCTGTAAATCGCAGTAGGTATGTCAAAAATCAGGGAAACAGCCATTATGCGATCTACTTTCAGCAGCAGTCTTAGAAAAAGAAAAAAACTAAAAATATGCAGAGTACTAAAAAAAGTATTGCTATATTTCTGGTTTCTGTAGGACAACCCGTTGTTCCCCGAAACCGTACTTTACAGCTGGTTTAAGAGGCCGTTCCACAATAACGCAAAGAAATCGTTTTCCCTCCTTTTACATCGCCGTTACCGGCAATAATTACTTCTGAAGAGCTCTTAATGCCCGTCCGCGCGATCTGACCGCGGTTCGCTATCCAAATCGATCGAATATACGCCGTCACAGTCACAATAGGTACCTGCATTTAAGTTGTCACCTTCAAACCCTTTGTCCTCCGCAGCTGAATAAAAGCAAAAACCCACCCGGCCTCCCCCTCCCCCTGCCGCTTGTACGGGCTACGCTGAAAGTTATTATATTATCGTTATAACGAAAGAGAAACCCGACAAAATGAAATAATAAAGTTATGAATAGGGGGGTAGAGGTGGCAACGTCGCGGGACGAGTGCCGCGGGTCGATAAAGCTGACCGGGTTCATGCCAGGATCGCACTCGATCGGGAGGTTTCGAGATCGACTCGGCTCACATCGTGCTATGCGACATCTAATATCGTTAGGAATAGAAACTTTTCTTCTTGAGACAACACCATCTGTTGATCATATTAATAAACTAAAATGACTATGTTAGTCCTCAAAGGCTCAAATACAGTATTGTTACAGTATCTTTTTGAACGTTTTTTTGAGATTTAAACTAAACTTGTTGAATGTACGTAAAAGTTTCATACAATTGATTCAAAGTACTTTTCATGCCAATATATCCTGTGATTTCATTAGTCTTGTTCTTTAGTGTTGTCAATACATACGCCTAGGCATACCATATTATATTCACACCACGCGTAAGTGTAAATAAATAAATTAACATAACGGGTACAATCTCATTCACACAGAGCAATCGAAACTGTTTCTAGTGCATTAGAAACATTTGGATTGCTCTAGGAACAATGCTATTATTACGTTTTTGACAGTAACTTGCATTAATCGATGTTTCCATGCTTTACTGTTCACAATATTGAAAAATAAATATGTAATTTATAAGCAACGAATCTAACGAGGATTATGAAGTTATGAAGCTGACAATTTTGCAGATATCGCTGCATATCTTGTAAAAACTTATCAGTATCTATAAATAAATTATTAAGAAAACATTACTCCATCAGCTTGACTGAGTTCTTTATTGTTATCGGCCATTTTGTTTTTTCGCTTTGGTAATGTCGTGGAGTCATTAAATAGGAATATATCCGTTACGATCTTAGCATGGCTCGACGAAATTCGACACAATCACGTTCCCGCGGCGTTGCCACGTCGGGCCGCAATTAAAGGCACTTTACAAACAATTTATGGTGCAATTTACAACATTGTAGACCTCCAGTGTCATTGACTCAATGTAAATAACAAATATTAATTGTGGAACAACCGAATCCGAGTTTCGTCCTGATTTTTATACGCGGGTTTCGAGTCTGCTGGTAAACGGGAATGAATGCCCGATTGTTTATTTAAACAAACAAAAGAGTGGATTGCTGGGTGCAGAGGTGGTTAGGCGAATGAGTCGCACCCAGTTCAGGGTGGCGGCTCGGCTTCGGGGCACTGCAAAGTGCATTGATCAAGAACAAATCGCAGTCATATGTTCGCTTTTATTTCTATTTTTATACACACAGGCATGTAGGTGTAAAAGCAAGAAGTAACACCCTGCACACACCATTTACTTTTCTGTAATTTTAAAATGGACCACAATTTGCCCGAATTCCTTTTCTGATAATGCCGATGTTTTGAAATTAAATTGTGAAATTATTATTATATTTATTAAATGTTACGGCAATAATAGCGAGCAAAATAAAAATAGGTAATTTGTGCAAAGAAATTATTAAGCGAAGGTCAACCGTACAATGTATTGTTAAACAAATTGCTTTGTGCAGAACTGCTATTATACCTGAAAAAAATTATTAAACAAAAAAACTGATTAAAATATATCTAGCAGTTAAAAAATTGATAAGGCATTAACTTGGGTGCATACTTCAATAATGACATAACTAACAAAATATATTTGTTAAATTATACTCTCTGTGCCAACAATAAAAAATTTAGGCCTCAAATCTGAAGGCGATTTACACAAAAACAGAATCTAGATCGCACTGTGTTCCTTCAAAAATGGCAGCTTTGCTAAGGTAATAGACTTTCAGACAATGTGACGTAATTAAAAATGTATTTATTAACCCTTTGCGATTCAGGAATATAGTAAACTTTAATGTATTATTTAACTTTGTTCGTCTGAACTACATTATGCTCACTATTTATCGACTCGAAAAGCGAATGACAGTTTGTGGTCCATTTGGGTTGGATATACATTTGCGGTCAACGACTAATGCAGCTGACACAGTCTAGGTTGTTTCTAGGTCTAGGTTTTCAGGGACGCAATACTACTAACACAGTTGGCTGTACTGTCGTTCAAATTCAAATTATGTGCAGCTAAGTTCATTGTTGTAATTGTCACCCTTTTCTAATGAAATATATAACATAGGCTAGTACTTCATCTGGAAAATACGCTGTGTAATTGAGGAAAATAAGTTCGTTTCTCAATTTAACCTGCAATGGCTTCAGTCAGAGAAAAGTTAACGAAATACACTGCTTATTACAGATGTCCCGACAACATTCAGAATTTTAAAATGCGGTAAGCATCACCAACTAATCAATACAGTATGATGTAGTTATAATAAGTTACAACAGATGGCGCCATGAAGACGCAGACACAGACCGCAATGTTGCCACGGCGGTTTGTTTTTTGATTGATTTCGTTATTTGTCAGAGTTGACGTTTGGATTTTGATATTTTATAAGCTATTTGGAAAGTTTTCTTAGATATAGGATTATGCCATCCGATATACATAATTATAATTTTGGTTAATACATTATTTTAAAAATATTCTGTTAAATACTAATTAAATTCTAAAACCCAAAGTATTGCCAAATTAATAAATTACGATAGTTAATAGTTTTCAAATACTTACAATCTTTTTTATCTTCTTCTTTCTATTTCTGGCTAACTTCTTTGCAGAATAAAATATAAGGAAATTGAAGCAGAAAAAGTTGAAACCGCTGACGGTGAAACTGAGGTTGATTGGCAAATTAAAACAATTTCTTGGCAGGAGAAACACTTCAGCAAAAACGAGCGAGAATTCTATGGAGATGCTTTGAACTGCGTCACAGATTTAGAGAAAAGGTATCACGAACAAATAAAAGACCAAGAAAGTCCTGAAGACGGCCCCCGATATTTTTACGTTCACTGAAGAAGATGGATATACATTTGAACAAGAGGTATTAGATCAGTTAAAAAAAATATAGTTGTAGGTTCCTTTATTCGTTTCATATTTTAGTTATTTGGAAGTAAGATAAATTATTTACAAAATTTGGTAGAAATCGCGAATGCATCTAAAGACGATTTCCAACAAGACCACGAGGAGTTTGATTACAACAAACACCTCCAGTCTTCTATGGAAAATAAGGTCATATCAAGTAATGTTGAAAAAATGTATATTATGGCAGATTTAGGGTAAGAATATAACTACACGCGTGACGTCATCACAGTAGTTAGTAGAATGGCCGTTAAAAACGGTTTGATCACATTTTTCTTTTAGAGAATATGTGGAAAATATATGGATAAAGAACGAACAGCTTCTATGCAGCATCAAATATGACAAAAACTCGCAAGTTTTAAATATTTATCCAGATTTTACTACAATAAAACCATACTACTTAAAGATGGGATCAGAGACTATCAGATACTTTTTTTATTTCATCGAAAACTGTTCGAAAATCTCGGAAGAACTAGTCTTGAAAGAGCAAGAAATCATTAAAAAAGTACCTAATAAACTTAGATTATTAGAAATTTTCACTATCTAACTGATTTTAGATATCAGAGCACAAGCAGTCCATCAGACAACGGTTGATAGGTAACAAATTTCCGTTACCTCCAAAAAATAAGCTTTACGTCTACTTGTTTTTGGAAATATTGTCGGCGAAACATTTCGAGTACCCCGACGTCTACATTGAATATTACATCGACCTTCCAGAGGGTTGGTCTTGTGAAAACTCGGAAAACTTAAGAGGAAGGACTCAAACAAGTCATGGAATCACTGACAAATACCTACTTCACTTTGGACATTGCGTTGACGTGGTTCTGCAATACAACATACAAAAACTGAGTCAAACGGGTAAGAATTAATTAATGTAATGTCGTTTAAAAACTGCAAGACTTTCAAGGTGTTCCAAAAACCCCATACATATACTTCGAAATTATATCCAAAGGCACTTGGGATAGATACAGGACTGAAGGACTAACATATAAAATCCTGCCAATCTCGGAACCAGGTCATCACATTTATAATTTGTCATGTTTTCGATTTACACAAGGTGCGTGGGGGGATTTGAGAAGATTTTTCATTGGGGACTGCAAAAATTATAAAGATGTTACCTGGATAGGAATCCCCAAAGAACACGAAGTAGGTATTAAAAGGAATATTATTCAGAAAAATAATATCCTGTATGTTTCAGGGAGTTGTAATCAATAAATTTGGAATAAATACTTTGGGTACAGGTGAGCTAAATGTTCGGGTGAACGTGGTTCATCAGTCCCAGGCATTTCTAAAAGAATTTAGTAGGGGTGATCCACGTGAAAAGCTTATTTACGAAAAGCTGAATTCTTCCAGTTTGATCAAAAGCGTTGAAGAAGTGTTACATGCTTTTAGAAAAGCTAGAAAGAATATGCTGGAAGTGAGAAAAAATTTGTAGTTAATTTAGAAAAATTATTATTATTATTAAATATTATTAATGTAATGAATAATTTTCTTTAATTAAATTAAATTTACATTAAAATTAAATTTCTAATTTATGGATGTCTAGACATAGTATTCTAAGGTAATGGTATTTTCTATTTGGTAAACTAGACCATATATATTCCAAGGTACAAGAATGTATTAACCCGAATTTTGGCGAACAAACTAAAATTCTTCGTAAGTGTGTAGTACCTGCATCGAAGTATCATATATTTAAAACTTTAACACAAACTGTTAAATTTCAGTTAGCGCAATCAACAATAATTGTTGATAATTCTAACAAATTTAAATCATTAAAGAAGTTTCTTGTTTAGTTCGTAAAAAATTGTTTGTATTGTATTCTGACTGGTCTGTGTATTCTGACATATTTTGGATTTATTTTCTGTGGTCTGTGATTATAATAACATAGCCTAATTTTTTTTTAAAGAAAGAAAACACGCTAGATTTGTAGACACAATGGTAAAGAAGGGTTTTAACTGGAAAGCCAGGAAAGTAGTTGACACTGTAATAGATAATTCCGACACGCAGAAGGTAAAACGGTTACTAACCTTAGAAACTCAAATATTGATTATTCTTTTCCAGATACAAGTAGATATCGACAGTGGTGGGAATTATGATCAAAGTAACCAACTGGTTTTGCCTTCCAAGAAACGTAAAACTAAAATAAAAACAGAAAAAGTTACTAGGATTTTATCTAAAAAACACAGGAAACGTTTGGAGAAAATAGTTGAGAAAAAGAAGAAAAAAGAAAACGTAAGCAGAAATACTTGCATTTGTAACATTTTTGTCAACTTATTATGTTATTTCAGAGAGCCTCTCTCTTAGAATCTCTTCAGAAGGTCCGAGCGACTAATGACGAGCTTTCTCAGTTAACATCAATTGCAGCTATACAAACTAAAGGACTAAAAAGGTACTTTCAAGAGGAATTGAATCCAGAAAAGATTAAGCCCAAAAGAGATTTGGATATTCTATCGGGCGAGGCGAAACTGAACAGCATATCGGGGGCTAAACGAAGGAAACTATTAGATGCAAGGGGAGAGCAGTTGAAAAATATTGACCCTAATGTGGTGGGCTTTGAAAAGAGTGACACAGAAACTAGCGACAGTGAGCTGGAAGAAAATGGTTGTGAAGAGGAAGCACGACATATCGAGGATGATACAAAAAAAGAAAATATGGGGGATAAGGGTTGTGAGGAAGAAAACAATGAGGCTGTTGTTTTGGAAGAGAAAATCAGCCCTATTGTAATAAAAGATGACGTCAAAGCAAGTAACATTGAAAATAAGAAAAGTAAACCCAAAAAAGTTCCTTCAAAACCAGCAGTCTACGTGGACGTTATACGAAATGAGGAAATTCAAACCACTCGATTAAAATTGCCTATCCTAGCCGAGGAACAACAGATAATGGAGGTGATAAATGAAAACTCAGTTGTCATAATAGCCGGTGAGACAGGCAGTGGCAAAACAACACAAGTTCCTCAGTTTTTATACGAAGCAGGCTATGCTTTGAAGAAACAAATCGCTGTAACAGAGCCTAGAAGGGTTGCAGCAATATCCATGTCTCAGAGAGTGGCACAAGAAATGAATTTGAGCACAAAGGAGGTCAGTTACCTGATACGATTCGAAGGAAACGTCACGGAAGACACGAAAATTAAGTTTATGACAGACGGCGTATTGCTCAAGGAGGTCCAAAATGATTTTCTACTGAGCAAATACTCAGTTGTGATTTTGGATGAGGCGCACGAGAGGTTAGTTACATATCTTTAAATTTTGCATACGTCTTAATTTTATATTTTAGGTCGGTTTATACAGATATCTTGATTGGCCTGTTGTCCCGAATAGTACCGCTTCGCCACAAGAAAGGTGATCCCCTCAAACTGATAATAATGTCCGCTACTTTGCGTCAGGAAGACTTCACACTGAACCGACGATTGTTCAAAAACCCACCGCCTGTCATAAAAGTCGAAGCGAGGCAGTTCCCTGTGACGGTGCATTTTAATAAAAGAACAAACGAAAACTATCTGAAAGATGCTTTTAATAAGGCCATTAAAATAAATACGAAGCTGCCGGAAGGGGGTATATTGATTTTCGTTACGGGGCAACAGGAAGTGAATTCTCTGGTGAGCAAGTTGAGGAAGGCGTTTCCTTTGAGGCACAAAGAGAAAATTCTGGAGAAGAGCGAACGGATGAAGAAGGATGCGGAGGAAAATGGGGGAGTAAGCGAAGATGAGGATGTGGATGAGGGTAAATGTCACAAAAATATTTTGCTGTTTATACAGGGCGTAACTTTGGATGGGGTTCATATTTTTAGACTTGTTTGTAGATTTCAGATTTATTATCTTCCTCACATAAAGTTGCACCTCATATAATTGGCATAAAAATTAACACACTACTAAAAATTCGCCACAGTTTTTAAGTTGGCTTTCTCGGAAATGCGTAATCAGAATTTGAAGATCTTTTGTTTATTGAATTACTTCGTTATCTCTGTTATTAATTGCAATACACTTACATTAAAGTGCACCGGTTGATTTTGCGAGAAAATCAACGTTAGGGCCCAATTTTAGTGATTTGTTAATTTTGACATAAAGTGACTTGTACAACGCAAATTTGAGGTATGCGGAGAGCGCTGCACAAGAAACGGAAGCTCAAGATAATCCCGGAAATCAACCTGGACGACTACAGCGTGCCTGGTGATACGGAACACAAATCCGATGAGGAACTTTCCGAGGATGAAGAAGATTCCGACACGGAAGTCACCACCATTACCAACGCCCAACCCCTCTGGACCCTGCCCCTGTACTCCCTGCTCCCCTCGCACAAACAACAGAAAGTGTTCGCACCGCCCCCGCCCGGTTGTAGACTTTGCATCGTCAGCACCAACGTGGCGGAAACTTCTTTGACGATACCCAGCGTCAAATACGTAATCGATACCGGCAAGGCTAAAATTAAGCTGTACGATAAAGTGACGGGGGTCACCAGTTACGTCGTGCACTGGACCAGCAAGGCTTCTGCCGACCAGAGAGCGGGAAGAGCGGGGAGGGTCGGACCGGGACACTGTTATAGGTAAGGTGGAAAAAATTCTTTACTGATATTCGAAAAATTTAAATTATTAACAATTTTAACAGTTTATAATAAATGAAAATGTTTTTAAATCTGTAGTGTGCTCTGCATTATTAAAACAAGTGCATTTAGTTTGTCAGTTAAAATAAACGATTGTTTCATTCATAACCTACAAGGTATATGTCATATTCAATGCCTACGTTCAGAAAGCATTACTTTGTATCTACTGGCAAAGAGTGACCTACTAATCTGTAGGTGCTGTGCATGCATAGTTCACATTATTAGTTGCTAATTGTTTATGTTAAAAAAATATACAATAACGAGAAAAATATCAGAATGATGCAGTTTTTTAATTATTTGTGTTAAATTATTCGTCCAATTGTATCCATAACTAATCCAGAATCACACAGATTAAAATGATGGTTCATAAAATGTTCATATTATTAGGTTATACTCGAGTGCAGTATTCAACGACGTCTTCCAAGAATACTCTGTGCCTGAAATCCAGCAGAAACCCGTGGACGACCTCTACCTCCAAATGAAGTGCATGAACATTGACAAAGTGGTAAACTTCCCGTTCCCCACGGCACCAGACTTGCTTCAATTAAAAACGGCCGAGTCCAGACTGGAAAGTTTGGGTGCCTTGAAGAACGGGCAAGTCACCCCATTGGGCAGGGCGATTTCCAAGTTTCCTCTGCTCCCTAGGTACGGCAAGATGCTGGCACTCAGCCACCAGCAGAACTTGTTGCCCTACACGATTTGTTTGGTGGCAGCACTGTCGGTACAAGAAGTACTGTTAGAGGTAAGAATTTGTATGTTTTGCCATGTGTAACTAAAAAAATTCCAGTAGTATCAAATCTGGCAGTTTTGCGGGCTGCAGTGTGGTTTTCAACTATTGTTCTTTTATTTGATTAAGGTTCCCATAGTTCAGACGTCGTTGGAAGCAAGGAAGCAGATCCGTCAGAAATGGTCGGCCACCCGTCACCAGTGGGCCGGTCAGGGCAATTCGTTACTGCTGGGGGACAATATGGTGCTCCTGAAGGCGGTGGGCGCGGCGGAGTACGCCAACAGTCAGGGAAGGTTGGAGAAATTCTGCAACGATAATGGCTTGAGACAAAAAGCGGTCGTCGAGATTAGAAAGTTGCGTGTGCAGTTGACTAACGAGATCAAGAACAACGTGCCCGAGGCAGAGATTGTCGTTGATCCGAAATTGGAGCCACCGACGGATCTACAGGTATGGTTCGTTTGAACTACTTTTTTGTAGTTTGATTGGAACAAAAATATATGATATGTTTGTGCTCTAGCACTTATCCGGAGGTAATACAGGATGAAACTTTAAATGGGGGTCAGTTTTTTTTAGGGGTAATAGTGCATATTCCCCAAAATACTAATGTGAAATAAATTTTTGTTAAATCAGATAGTTATAATTATATTTTTAAACTGCACTTAGGCTTTTCTAAGCAGCTGTTATCTTTTTAAACTAACTGTATGTAACTAACGGGATGGCAGAGAGTCTAGTTTGTGAAGTCGGTATCAATAATTTCTGATACTGTCTTATGTTTAGTTGAACTGCATAATATCAATCCACCTGATGCGATATGACAACAGGATGTTGGGCAATCAAATGTTCAATGGTAATTCGGCGATACGAAGATGGTGAAATATGTCAAATTCTTGAATTTATTATACAGGGTGATTCAAAATTCAGTACAAAGAATTTAGGGCGTAGGTTTGAGGTCAAAGTAAGACTTTTTTTCCTATAAATGTGGATCTACAAATGCTTAGTTTTCGATATACCGGATGTTAAAGTTTTTTTTTTATTATTTTTATTTTTTAGGAATACAGTAATGTATAAGTTAATCCGAACCCCCTATAATCCGAACTACTCTATAATCCGAAAGGGCAAATTGTGTAAAATGCTAATCCATAATCCGAACTTTTGCATTCCATAATTCGAACTATCAATTTTAAGCAAAAAAGATATACTTGGTCTAAAATGCTGACTAGTGACAATAATACCGTTTAGTCAGCAGTGATTTTCTTGAAAACGGTTAGTTGTATCAAAAAAATGTAAAGAGCTAAGATTCAAAATCATTGCATTACTGATTAGGTGGTGAATAAATCTTAAAATTTTTAATGGTAAATAGGGGAATAAACACTAATACGAAACGTCAATGTACAGGGTAGCAAATTTAATTCAAGCGTACCCTATAAGGTGGCGCCCTCTACAAGCAGCGTCAAAACCAATGACATATTTAAATTTAGTATCCTAAATCACCCCTGTACCCCAAGTTTTACGCCAACATTCAAATTTGGAAATTATTCCTAAAAAATAAAAAACTTTAACATCCTGTATATCGAAAGCTAAGCATTTGTGAACCCACGTTTATAGGAAAAAAAAGTCTTAGTTTGACTTCAAAATTACACCCCTAAATTTTTTGTACTGAATTTTGAATCACCCTATGTATAAATACCCTAATATAAATAAGGTTTCAGTTTATCGGTTCGTGATCCGGTAAAAAATTTTGTAATTTTCTGTGTAAGATACTGTAAAACTTTGACTATCGGTCTTGGTGGGACTGAGACATTTATGGATAATTGAGAAACACGGATAACCAAAACGTGCCGAAGTAATGAAATTTTGGCAGCACCAAAGGTTGTTGTCCGAGTTGGTTGTGTGGAGGTCGCAATTTTGATTTGATGGCAAAATGGTTGTTTTCCTGCATTATAAATATGTTTTCTAAGAACATGAATCTCATTGCGGGTAAAACTTATGAAAATTGAAGATTGTCACGAGTTTGAAAAAAATGTATAGATTTTCACCATTTTTTTTTACTTATTTTGAATAAAAAACACTTTTAAAATTATGATATTTTCCCATTTGTTGGTTCATCTTCTTTGTAAGTTTCATAATGATAGGTTCATAACTTTTCGGGCTAGAGTTTCCATGAATCAAAAAAATATCATTTCAAGAAAAACATTTGAAGATTTCCGAAAACTAGAAATTTGAGAAAATTATCAATAATATAGAGCTCTCCAGCCTACTTGGTGTGTGCCCGAATGCTGACCCAATGGGCGTTTGGTTTTATTCTCATAAAATCGGAACAATTAGGAATTTCGTTTTGAAAATTTGGCAGTGTATTCTTGAATAACAATTTATGCCATAAAAAATAAAACTGATTTTTTTGAACCTCCTAATGTGGTTTCCCCCCTTAAGTAAGTTGCAATATTCTATCCCTTTTGTAGGCGAAACTCTTGAGGCAGATCCTGCTGGCGGGCATGGGGGACCAAATCGCCAAGAAGATCCCCCCCGAGGAAGTGAAAGAGGGCGAGGACAAGGCCAAGTTCAAGTACGCATACCAGGCGAACAATATGGAGGATCCCGTCTTCCTCCATCAAGGCTCCGTTCTGAAGAAGTTGCTGCCTGAATTCGTCGTGTATCAGGAGATTTACGAAACCAACAAGATGTACATGAGGGGCGTGACAGCCATAGAACCGGAATGGCTGGCCACTTACGTTCCGAGCTTGTGCAACTTGTCCGAACCTTTGTTCAGCCCCGAGCCCCGATACAACCCAGCAACAGGTGGGTATCATTTAAAGAAAACCACCAAAGTTGTAATATTCCCGTTAACTTTCAGGTAAAGTCCACTGTACGGTGTCGGGTACGTTTGGGCCACAAGCTTGGCCTTTGCCGCATATGGAAATCGTTTATCCTGCTTCTATGGACGCGTACAAGTGGTTCGCAAGGTACCTTCTCGAAGGGAAGGTGTTCCCGAGGCTTGAAAAGTACGTCACGGCATTGCTCAGCCCAGCCAACATCATGGTGAAAAGTTGGGCGAGGCTGCAGCCACGAACAGAGGCGTTGTTGAAAGCGCTCCTAAATCGAGACTGCTGCTCTAAAAAGGTTCTGGGGGACATTTGGAGTGACAGTCCCCAATGTAAGCCATTTTTTTAAATGCAAAATATTCGTAGTTTGTTAATAATATTTTTCTTGCAGACTTGTTGGCGGAATACTTGAAGTGGCTTCCGGAATCTGCCCACGGGGAAGTTAGCTTGCTTTGGCCCCCTCTAGATAGTAAAGTTAGTTGATGTAAAGAGACATATGTTTGAATTTTATGTAAATACTTACGTTTTGTATATAATTTGGTTATAAATAAAGATGCGTTTTATACACCGTGTCCACCTAATGCGTGTAAGTCCAATATCTAGGTTAACAAAAGATATCTTAATTTTTTTTTCTACAGAGTTGCCTACTTTCCCGAGCTGCAGAAAATGAAAATATATTTGCATATACAGGGTGTTCAGCTTTTCCTGGGCAGGTACCAACTCCATTTTTTTAAATGGAAACCTATATTTTTTTATGGCATTATCGAATTCTACTTGAAAAATTAACGGGACTTTGTGTTATGATCCCTATTAAAATATTGATCGTTTTCGAGATAATCGACTTTTCATTTTTTTTCTTATGTTTCGTCACTTCTAGTAGTTGATGTAATTATGATTGTATGACAGCTAGAAATTATTTTTTTTTCAGAAACTGTAGAGTGAAGATGGTTCTTCAAAAAACGTATCAAAAGTTGAGCTGCGATATACAGGGGGTAAAAAAAAATCGTGTCAAATATGATAATTTAAAATTTGAAAAATCTTGACTTTTTCAAATAGAACATCCAGAGTTTTATGATTTCATTAGATGCCTTTCTGTAGACTCTACAATTTTTTAATAGCTTTCCCTATACCTAAGTTGCAAAAAAACCCATTTTTATGTAAAATACAGGATTTGCGCCTGTTTCTTTGTCGGGAAAAATATTGTAAGGGTATTTATTTTTATTAAATTTATTAGTTGTCTAGCTACATTATTTAAAATAAAAATTAATAACTGACAAATTTAGATATTTGAGTTTAATAAACAAGTCTATGGAAAGTTACCATTTATTTGTAAATAAAATCAAAAAACCATAAAATCACTACAAGTGATTAAGAATTAGAAAAAATGGGGAATGTTTGCTAGCAGCACGTATTTACAAAGCAAATAATCCAAATTTACAGATTCCCACTGTTTTGAAAATGTGAATGAAAGGTTTGAATGAACAGCAAATGCGAATTATGACAAAACTACCAGGAGACATGAAAGTAACAACGATAATATTTAGTTTAAAGTTGTGGCGTCTGCTGTTGAAAATCCAAATATTAGTGCCAGGAAATTAGTAGTAGGTAAGCTTGGAGTTTTCAAAAGCTTGATAAATAAAATATTGAACAAGTTTCATCCGTATTATATTGAAAATCAAGCACTGTTACCGTAGTTAGGAAAGTTATTAGTGAAATTGGAGATTAAAAAATTTGGATGAATAGGATTTTGAAAAAAGAATACTCATAGTCGCAAGCTAACTTAAAATAAATACCCTGTATATGCAAATATATTTTCATTTTGTGCATCTTGGGAAAGGAGGCAACTCTGTAGAAAAAAAAATTAAGTTATATCTTTTATTAACCTAGGTATTGGCGCATAGCTGGACACGGTATATATGTCTTAATTTTATTTAAAATTGGAGAAATTCGTACCAGAGTTTGTTGTAAAAACACCAAAAATTTCCACATTTTTATTTCTTTAATTTCCTGCGCAACAATAAAAACCAACTAATGAATGAGTGGAAAAAAACTGATAAAAACTACATACGTATACTTTCTGTTTAAAAGAATGGGAAGGATCATAGATGGGGCAATGAGTAGACACCCAAACCATGTAAACCAGCACGCATATAAGTGGGGCAAGTCCACGGAGATTGCTTTACATAACATCGTATACAAAGTAGAGAAGGCCCTTCAATACAAATAGTTCCCACTGGCCATATTCTTTGATATAGAAAGTGCCATCAACAAGGCAAAAACGGAAACTATATGAGACTCGCTCCAAGATCGGGGCACATTGTCTACTGTGGTCGAATGGGTGAGATTGACATTTAAGAAATGACAGTTAGTTCAGCCATGGGGGACTGTCCCATGGAACTGGGGGTGTGAAGTAGATGCCCTCAAAACAGCTGCCTCTCACCGTATGATGATGGATAACCTCCCAGAGCGCCTAATCCTGGAATGATATAGATGCCCAGGACTATGCTGATAGTGGTTCTGGGCCAGTTTTCAAACATAGTATGCTACAGAATGCAGGGAGACTGTAGGATTATAGAGGTGGTGCGGGAACATGGGGCTCTCAGTCAACGCAAAGAAGACAGATGATCTTATTTACGAGGAGGAAAATAGGCAAATTCAGTATCCCAATATAGAGGAATACGTACCCTAACTCTGGTTGGGGAAGTGAAATGCTTGGGTTTTATTTTGAATAGTAAATTGTCTTGGGGACCACAGGTTGAAAGGATCATACGGAAATCAGTTTCAATCCTCTGCCAATTAAGGAAAATAGTGGACAAAAATTAGGGCCTCAATCCAAAGGTACTTCACTTAGTGTGCACAGTGGTAGTCAGACTGAGTCTGCGTATGCAGCCTTAGTCTAGTGGGCGAGTGTGGACTGGGTGACGGTAACCAGGAAGCTATTGAAGATCCAAAGGCTTGCCTGCTTACAGGAGCAATGAGGAGAACTCCAATAGCTACACGAGAGGTCCTCCTAGGGTTGCTGACTTTCCCCACATGGATTGTGAGGGAGGTGATGGCAATGTACCTAAGGATAAAGGATGCAGGTGGTTGGAAAGTAGGACATATGGAGAATCACGCTGCCATAGCCTTTAGGGGGAGAGGAGGATTCCAATATCTGCTATAAGGTCATTGAAGCAGAAGACTGGCTGAGGCTGGAAAGGAAGTGGGTCGCCACCTTCCCCTCGTGAGAGCATTGGAAGAAGGAAGGTGACATGTTCCTCAGGAATCCCTAGCAAGGGCAGCAAGAAAATATTAAACTGAAAATTTTTAATAAAATATTTTATTTAGGAACTTTTAAACTTGAATTTTGAAAATTAATACACTACTTTATTTTAAATAAGTAGATGGACTTCACAGGGTCTAACGACACGTACAGTGTACGATAATTCAATAAACAAAAAATCTAAATAAATTTGGAACAAATACACTGAAGATGAATTTTTCGAGACAAAACGTCTGAATCTGGTTTGGGCTGAGGCAGTACACTATTGGGGGTCATGAAGGCTTGCAAAAAATGTAATAACATTTCCAGGGTCATAGTTAAAAAAATGAAGTTGATGATGGTCCTGGAAAGACGAAACGTTCCATATAAAAATTGATTGTGCCATTCGATAGACGGCAAAAAGTGGCCATGAGAAAGTGTCCTTGTTTTTTTGTATATCACCTCAAACAAGGCTGAAATCAAACAAAAACGGATTTCCAAAATTTCGTTTTTTTTTCAAATATTTCGAAAACTGATCCCCTGATTACGCAACTTTGCCCCCATTTAAGCTACTTCGTACCTATTACCGTTTCCGAGATCCCTGTAGTGAGAAGCGAATTTGTAACAGCCTGTATATGTAACACACCAATTTTATATAGGGGAAATGAAAAACATTTTTAATTTTGTACGTTTACCCATAAGTTTAAGAAATTTATATATTTTCAATAATATAATAGCTTTATAGCTTTAAACATGTGAAGGTATTATTCGATCCTTAAATTTTTGTATTTAATTGTTTTTAAATTACCTACAGATAAACTGCAAATTTAGACTTAATATTTTTGTTATTGGTCTATCGCTTATTTTTGACAACCATGAAGATTTCATTAATGAAGTGGTCGACAAATTTTCAAAAAATCAGAACATGTTTTACCTAATTTTTGTTGAATTTCTTTATTTTTTATGTTTTCCTATATTTTAAAAAGATTTTATTAAAAATATTTCCAAAAAAAAATTAATTCACTGTACCTATTTCTACTTATAATTTATATTTCTCCCATCCTCTCTCTTATGTCGCTCCCCCCCCCTAACGCATTGGCTGGCGACGGCCTTGATACCTATTATGCTATACGAATTGATTTCGGGTGGGAGATGAACATTCAGGAGAAGTAATATACCTAGAAGACAATGGTATCCAAGAAAGATTTTCATTGGATATGTAAACCAGTCTTTCAGGCAGAGGTTTTTGCTATTTTGATGGCGACAAGTAAGCAGGAGTAAGGAACTGTGTAAAGGAGAGGATTTTTATCTGCTCCGACAGTCGAATTATTCTTTGAAAGGGTTTTAGGAGCACTAAAAGCAGTATATACCATTTACCAAAAGACCTCCTGGTCTAGATTGAGTAGATCATTGTAGTCACAGATAGTTAGCTTTATGTGTTACATCTAGTTTGTAATGGATTTTTTAAATTCTGTGTCTGTAACATTTAATGTAGCAACCTCAAGAGCAGAGTGATATCTATACAGATTAAGAGAGGCCTTCGTGCGAAAGTCTATTTAGCGCCTGTTTGTAGGTACTAAACTTTAACTAGTGGACTAAAAAAGGCACACCAATAAAACTACAGGAAATTAAATTCTATAAAATCAGGGCTTTGGTGCCCCATTTTCTAGTGCGCTTTGTGATGGCCTCTCGCTAGACGAGCCGCTGTCTCCATGTAACAAATGGTCAAAACGTTTTGTGTCACTAAAGAAAGACCAATTTATATTACTATTCTTTAATATTTACGAGAAGGAAAATGTTTCAATGAAAGTCTAAACTGATCAGAAAATGTATATTACAGTCCATATATTTCAGCCAAATGTTAGCTACTAACTAAAAAGATTTAACATTTCAACATATTCAAGTTGTAAATAAAGCATCGATAAAGAATAACAAGATGTCTTTCAAAAGCACTTAATTTTAGTATGTTAGAAGCATTGCATTTGCAACTTCGGAAGCCTTCTCTTTACCTATCAGCTTGTCAATAATCGTGAGGGCAAAGTCATAAGCAGTCCCTGGTCCTCTGCTAGTTATGAGCTTCCCATCGACCACCACTTTATCTTCTTGGTATTTATAGTCGTCTTTTAACTGGTCTTTCATAGACGGGTAAGATGTCAAACTTTTCCCCAATCCTACTCCATGAGCCTTTAGTACAGTGGGAGCTTAAAAAATAACGTTTAACGAAAAAATCTAGGCCGATAATTTGATATTGTACCTGCACAGATAGCTGCAATCCATCTACTTTCGTTTTCCTGCTGTTTGAGCATCTCTCCTACAGCTTTACACCTCGCCATGGACTGAGCACCTCCGAGCCCACCCGGCAACACTAAGATATCATAAGGACCTTTAGCATCTGATAGTAGTATGTCTGGTTTAACACTGACGCCTCTACTGCACTTGACAATTGGAGAGGCATCACATATACCCGCTACAGAGACATCAAACTGTAACATAATTCCTTTAGATTCAAAATATTTTCAAGAATTAAGCAATCAGTTACCCCTCCTCTACGTAGCACATCAATGGATATTACCAGTTCCATCTCTTCAGCTCCTGGAGCCAAAAATACTAGTGCCGTTTTGGACATCTTGGTGTTTAACTTACAGAAAGAACTAGTGAAAACATAGTTAAAAAATACTAAAAGTTAGTAGCAGTGCAAGTTATGACACTGATGTTTTCTCAAAATTACTTTTGTTTGACAAATAGGTATCTAGAATATCATTGCCGGTATTTTCCATTTTACAATATTTTTTAATTTTAAAATAGCTAAATACTTGTTCTAATTTGTTTAATGACGATAACATTGCTGAATCTGAATCTTTCTTTTTATAAAAAATTATAGCATTTCCTACCTGAGATTCCCAAATTTGTTTTCTTCTAGCACCCGCAAAACAACTCGAACACCTTTTATCAACATAACCTTGCTTTGACATTTGTAATTGTATTTTTATTTTTCCCCTCGATGTTGGTAGCAGTTAAAAAACCAGTTTCATGTGTTTGGAGTTAACCTAACATATTTTTTAATATTCACATTCTAGAGAAAGAGATCAATAATAATTTTAATTTTAAAATAGACCTAAGTGATTATTTATTGTTAGAACTACAGAGTTGTTATAAATTGCGGTTTATTTATGGGAATTTTTCCTGTAAATGTATTTTACAGGGGAGCCAATATAATAAAATTAAGATTTCAAATACAGGCGGCAAAAAAAACAACACTATGGCAGAAAATGCTGCTAATTTCACATTCACGTTTCAAAATAAGCCGAGCATATTTGAAATTATCGCTCAGAAATCTTTAAATGATACGTTACATCCAGCGTTACAAAAAATCGCCTTGGTAATTTCATAAAATTCACATATCTTGCTTAATAAATAATTCTTGCAGTTTTTAGCCAACAATTTTCCACAAAAATTCAACTGGTTAAATAAGTATTATGAAGAAGCCTTTCTTGTTTTAAATGGACTGCTACAGTACCATTACCTAAAATACTATGGTAAGAAAATACAAGTTCGTAATGCCTAAGATAAATTGTAATGTCGTAGATGCTTCGTTCTCTGAAAACTTTTACGGTTTAAAAAGAGTCGTAGCTGATAATGGAAAACTGACGAAACGTCACAAGGAGCTATCGTTGATATTTCTAGTTGCTTTGCCATATTTCAAAAGGAAAATGGAGGAGAAAATAGCCGTAATCAGGATAGAAAATGCTGAAGGATATCTAAGACAGGTAAACATATGTATTTTGAATTACATATTTTCATTCACGTTTACTTTAGGATTTGGAAGGAATGCTAAAGAAACTAGTACTATTCTCACATTCCACGGTGGAAGTTGGTTGGGGTATAATTTTATTACACAATTACTTAAAATACATGTCAAATCAAACGGAAGTCCAAACGCCAATTTTAAATCTCATAGATGTAAAGTTGACGTATTCTCTAGACCAGCAAGATATTCCAAGTTTTTGGTCTGCGCTTTTCAAAGGGAACTTGAGGTAAAGCTTTAGCGCAATTTTAAATGCGGGTTATAAAAATTATCGTTTTAGTATATCGGAACTAAGTTTTGGGCTTGTAAAGAATGCGTTAACTACTTTTCTGGAGGTGACGGCATTTTTCCTGCAATTCTTGCAGTCGTGGAACACGCACAAGTCAAATTTTAACTTTACGGATTTACCGTTGGTTCCACCGCCACCTGTAAGTAAATATTTATTTTCTAAGGTTTAGAAGTAATTTATAACAATTTTATTTTATTGGCCAATAAGTAATACACGTTTTTTCTCAAATTTAAGACATTTCATTATTAAATTCTACAACTAATCAGTAATGTATTCTCCATCGTTATTTATGACCTTCCAAAGTTCAACAAGTTTCTCGATGCCTCTTCTATAGAAATCCTCTGGATTTGACTGGGAAAACTCATCCTAAAAGAAACACCATGTAAGGAGCTTGGCAAAGAGCAGAATAGAAGTCACGAGATTGGGAGAGTAAGGCGGCTGGGGCAGAACTTTCCAAATAGCCACTTTTGTCATATTGGAGTTATGTGATCCCACATTGTCATATTGCAAAAGAACGTATTACGTCTTTTTGGTTGAACGCAGGTGGTTTACAATTGTTTTGTAATCACATTCCATCCATCTCCTGAGTCAATTCTCTTGTTGATCATCTTGGATTTTCATGGAGTCTATTCAGTTGCTCATCAAATTCAACAGGGCACCCAGAACGATTCATGTCTTTAAGGTTGAAATTACTTCTTTAAGACGCGAAAATCATTGATGGGCTGTTCGTTCATTCATTGCATCATGACAGCTTTAACGTGTCCCTCGTCTCCATTAAAAACAAAAAGAAGTGCCAAAAATAATCAATTTTATCAACTTGACATTCAATTTCAAATGAACGAAAATTTACAAAAATTAAATCCAGCGAAGCAACCAAAAACACAATCTAATGGAGCAATAAGGTCTCTTTCAAATGACGGGTTAATTTGACTTCGTTTTTCATGTGAATTTTTAAATTTGAAAAAACGGACTTATTCCCTAATTTATTATTTAATTTGAGGTATGTGTAACTTTTAACATTTCTGTTTGTAGGTGGACAATAAGGCGAAAAATTACCGTAACAAATGTCCCATTTGCCTCAAACCATGGCTAATACCTACTGTTCTTCCGGTATCTGGGTAAGTAAGGGTCAGTTAAAAAAAGTACTTTTTATAGGGTGTATTTTTCCATTTTGCAGATACATATTCTGCTTCCGTTGCATTCTGAGGCACCTGAGCGAAAATCAGTGTTGTCCAGTAACAAACTTACCTGCCAAACCGTTGGATATCGTTAGGTTGTACGTCAGTTAACACCGTTTATCATTGAAATAAAACACTTTTTTACTGTTTATCGTCTTTTATTAAGAATCATGCAGTAAAAAACACTCTAAGCATAAAATATAAAAAAAAGGAACACAAATATTGAAATACCTGGAAAACATCCTGAAATCCACAAACGCAAAATTCCTACTTGAAGATCATCCTAAGAAATCCTAATCCTTTATCCTTTTACTTTTGAAAATCTAGATATATATCCTTGAAAATCCTAGGAAAAATAGACTCCCGCGCAGTCCCGATAGCGAAAAAAATTTATGACTGTCAGACTTGGGGTATTTTTTTCTCCTAGGAATTTTCATCCTGATCCTTTAAGTCGCTTTATGCGAGACCTAGTGGGTGTTGCAAAGAAAAATTACTATAACGGGGAACTTTTCAGGGGCTTTTTGTTTGCACTGCTCAACGTGGAAACAAACAAAATACATATTTTCACGTCACTGTTGAGCGTGTCCAGGATTCGACATAAAAATTTAACTTCACTACAGTCTTTGGCACTGTACAAAAGTTTACCCTAACGATACTTAGCATTAAAATTATTAGGAAAAATCGGTGGTAAGAGCGTTTTCGTAATAAGTTTGTCACTTACTCAACAACTGCAAAACAATTTAAGGGGAGATAAATTGCCAGAAATGTTGCAATTTTGCTTTACTCATAGTATTTTTAAAGGTTTCGTAACTCAAGGTCGTTGAAAATAAATTTTTTTTGAAATAAATTTTTTTTATCATGTAACAAGGCCATCTAAATACAGTTACACTGGTTTACATTTTAACTTGTGCATAAGCAAAAATTATTTAAATTTTATACCAGATTCAGAATTATTGGACAACTAGTGTTGTGAAATGCTCAAGAATATATTTTTAGAGAATTTTGAACAAGTACAAACGACAAACAAATTAAGAAAAGCGAGATGACAATTTTCATTATACTCGAACATTCTCGTGTAATTCAGTTACAAAATGGCATTGCAAATATAAAATTATAAGTAACTGCATCGAAAACATAAGAAATAAAAAATTTAATTTGGGAAAACAATTTTGTAGGATATTTGACGTAATAATTATTGTTTTTAATTATTTTACACCTCTAATACAACTTTATAATAAATTGCACAAAATAATCCACATAACTGAGCATGATTTATGCCAAAATTACATTTTGTGTCTTGCAAATCAAAGAAGCAACTGTTGGCAAAACAAAGAATTCTTGTTTTGCTAAAAAAATGTCAGAATTTAAAATCCAAATTATTTTGAGTCGATGAACAATTATTTTAACAGTAATTTTAACAACTTTTATTGAAAAGTGTAGTAACCACTAAATCGTAGGAGTTTATAAGACAAAACTGCAACAGTTTTTCTCCTTAAACTTGCTATAAATCACACAGTACATTGAAAAAGTTGTGTTATTCAAGACTTTTTGTATCAATGCAATTTTTCAAATGCAATAAGGATGTATACCAAATTTTGGCCAGAATATGTCCACACATTTCTAGGTTTTCTCGATTTGGAAAATTTTTCAGAAAAAAATGTAAGTTCGTAAGTTCTACATTATTTCCATTTTTTTCAATTAGTCACTTTTTGTACGTAACTTCCAAAAAAATATTTATGGATGACATTTCAGAATAGTTTTTGGTTTTCACTTATTGGGAAATATTTTTCGAAAAATATGTGGAATTTGTGGCTAAATTCTAAGAAAATAAAAATGAGTCAAGAAGCGTTTAATTTCTGAGATACAAAGTGTTCAAGTAAAAAATTCTGAAAACATTATTTAAGCCTATTTATAACTCCTAAAAAAAAAACACAAATTTTTTACTGCTTTACTTTTATTTTTTAAAAGAAAAAATGATGTACTATAAAGAATAAATGAGAGACTCATTTAAAATGGGGAATTCATTTAAAACTTTGCTCCAATTTTTTTAATGTGAGATTTTACCGCTTATTTAAAACCGTAACTTTAAAATTGGTATTTTTTATAGAAACAAACATGTTTTACATTTTTATTTAAATATCTTGACAGCTGTGAAAAAATTAGAATTGTTTTGATTTAATTTTGGCAAAATACCTAAATGAACAAAAAAGAGAGGAAATATGTCATAAATAACCTCAGTCTATACAGGGTGTCCCACCGGGAACTGCGTCAATCGCTATCTAGGAAAGTACTATGCCGAAAAATTTGAAAATTTGGCAACAGCAATGTCTCTGGGGCGAACACAACTAAAATATCTAGAACATTCCAGCACTTCCGGTTACACCACAAGACGACACCAATTTCGTTAATTTAAACGATACACTCTATATATTATTGCATTTTCGGATTCTACTTAAAATTTGAGGGTCACTTTATTAAATATTCCCTATACCTAGGAGTTCTAGATTTTGAGATATTAATTTTTAAAGAAAAAATTTGACAGATGCAAGGGTCCGCGGAGATGCTAGTAACTCTTTTCCGGAGCATGATATCAAGCGGATTTTTGGTACCACTAAAGGGCATAGGTAACCCTACGCTATGGTATATCAACAAATTGAAACATTTAATACTATGTGTTTCATTTTTGCTGTTACATTTTGATAACTTCCAACAGCTATAACTTTGTTAACTTAAATGGAACACCCTATATTTTTTTACTGTCGTATGCAGATTGAAATTTCCTTTCAAGTCATATAATCATTGTTAGGGTTGTCGTTACTACTTTTAGAGATATTTGTAATTTTCTATATTTTGGACAGTTTTTCTCATATCAGACCTGTTGTCAAATTGGCCATGACCAGAAACACTACAAAAACAATTGAAATAACATGACATTTGTCAAGTTAGTTGTCAAATAATTGTTGTGTCCGAATAGTTTTTGCAGAAAATTTAAATAAAAATGCCTGGGGATTGTTTAAATCATACTAATGAGGATTATTTTAATTCGTTTGTTATTTATGGAAAATGTGACAAAGTAATTTCAAGAATATGTAGAGAACCTGCTGCTTTTTTCCATAAATAACAAACGAATTAAAATAATCCTCATTAGTATAATTTAAACGATCCCCAGGCATTTTTATTTAAATTTTCAGCAAAAACTATTACAGACATAACAATAATTTGATAACTAACTTGACAAATATCAAGTTATTTTAATTGTTTTGGAATGTTTCTGATCATGTCCAATTTGACAACAGGACCGATACGAGAAAAAATGTTCAAAAAATAGAAAATAGCAAATATCTCTAAAAGTAGTAACGGCAACCCTAACAATACCGATATGGCTCGAAAGGAATTTCATTTTGCATATGACAGAGTAAAAAATACAGGGTGTTCCATTTAACTTAATAAAGTTATAGCTGTTTGAAATTATCAAAATGTAACAGCAAAAATGAAACACCCAGTATTAAACGTTTTAATTTGTTGGGATCCCATAATTTAGCTTTACCTATGCCCTTTACAGGTACCAAAAATCGACTTGATATCATGCTCCTGAAAAGAGTTACTAGCATCTCTGCGGACCCTTGCATCTGGCAATATTTCTCTTTAAAAATTAATATCTCAAAATCTATAACTCCTAAGTATAGGAAATATTTAATAAAGTGACCCTCAAATTTCACATAGAATCCGAAAAGGCAATAATATATAGGGTGTTCCATTTAAAATAACAAAGTTGGTGTCGACTTTCAAATTTTTCGGAGCAGTACTTTTGTAGATATCGATCGACGTAGTTCCTGGTGGGACACCCTGTATAGATACTATAATTTTTGTTTAAATCCATTTTTTTTTTCTACATCGATAAAAATGGCTTATAATTTTACTTGTTGCGTTTTATCTTGTGACAAAAAATTCAATATTTGATTAAATTTTCATTTAGACGTTTTGAATATATTCTAAAAATTGATTTTAGGAATTACTGCTTTGGACACCCTATATCTAGCAAATTAAGCATTACCCGATACACTTTCAGAGAAACTTTTCTTTCTTTTTCCAAGGAGTTCTATCGGCTACCTGGTTTATGCAATTCATGACACCTTGTATATAATAAAAATGAAAATGTTAACTTTGTAAATAAAAGTCAAGCAAAAGCAGAATTTTTACAAATTTACAAGTTTTTCTGGTTTTCCAGATTAGTATACACCCTGTAGCATTTCAATAGGAAAAATAAGATATTTTCTGGTGAGGTTAGATTTTTACCGTTGCCTGGACATTGCAATAATAAATGTAGTGCTTGTAGGAAAAATGGGGATCAAAGAATAAGGGAATTCTTAATTCTAATTTCGAATGCAAAAAAATTTAAACGTATAAAAAATTTAAAGGTAAAATAAGTTACCCATATTGCAATTCAATAACGATTAAAAATTCCCAGTCTATGGCACTACTTATGAAAAGCAAGGAAGGGCTAACTTGTCAGAGCGTTCGTTAAGAGGAGTGGACTTTTTAAGGGAATATAGTTGTATTTACCGATAATCCGTTATCTCTGAAAATTGTCCTACAGAGAGCGAGAGAATATCCTTTCCGCCTCCTCTTTTCTTATTACTAAACAATATTTTTCAGAAATCCAACGCATGCAAATGCTCCTCCAATCCTCCCTGAGCTAACGGATTATCCTGTCCCTCGCAAAACTTGTCCGTCGAAACGGAAATGATCCAAGAAATTTCGAGTTACGATAAACGTAAATTTGAAAATTTAGAGTTTCCAAATGAAAGCTGCGACATCCTTTACTAAATGCAAATTTCCGTTAAAGATCCTGACATCGATCCATCCTTCCCTCCAAAACTACTAACTTTTTTTTTGAAAAATCCCTCCGTTTTCATATTCCCGTGAAATATCCCTACATCCGCATCAAAAAACAATCATTCCTCTCCTCTTGTACATATCCAGGTGAATATGGGGGTGAAATAGATAATTTAAGGTGTTTTTATCTTTTTTTTTTTTATTTCCAAATGTCCAACGCTGATACAGAAGCTCAGCAAAGGTACCAAAATCAGAAAAAAAAACATACATTAGTACCTAATCCTTAACTTACGGTTAAAATTATTATTAGCTGAAATCGATGAGGGTTTTACATCTACACAAGCTGTTTTAACACATTACTTCCAGTTTATAAAAAAACAAACTTAAGACTCCACCGTGCACCAAGAGAACCGGAAAAAGAATTACACAAACCTACAGGTACCATAAAAAAAATGTAAAAACAGTATTTTAAAGCAAGTATGTTTTACTCGAATCGAAATGCATAATCATCTTGGCACAGAGCAAGTCGAACGTTCAGGAATGTACAACACACAAATATAACTCTAAACACTTTTAGAAAAAGAGAGGTTGTCAAAATTTAGATATTTTCAATCAGTCTATTAAACCATAAATTGCTTAAAACTTGCACTTTTGTCGACTCAACCCAATTTAGCAAAAAAAATCAGTTCTTAAACAATATTATAAGGGGTTTCAAATGAAGTAGAAATTATTTTGACGTCAGACAATATACGTACATACATAATGTCCGGTCCAAATAACCTACATTAGAATTATGTTCGTGAACGGCTTCGGGAGTAGCTTCTCTTAACTGGACTGTATGTGGGCGAACCCCTGCGCCGAGGCGAGTAAGAACGGCTTCTGGAACGCCCACCCGAACGTCTGTCGCTGCCACCCCTGTCTTCCTTAACTCGGATGTAGGAAACCTCACCCTAACAACAAAAATTACAGCTCTCTAAATGCACGCAAAAGCAGGAACCCTTAAATTTGGAAAACGAGATGTCTAATACCTAAAATGTTTAAAAATACACAATTTTTTTGGAAAACTCGAATATTTAAAGTTGCGACAATATCTTCTTAAAATAACATATTAAAATGCGGAGAAATTAATTAAAATGCAAAGGTTTATATTAAATCACTCATAAATAATCATTTTAAAAATAACATTCATCAAAACAAACCAACACCCACCTCGTGTGACCTGAATCTCGAATCGTCCAACTTCTTGATGGCATACTTCATATCCTCGTACCTCAAAAACTCCACCACTCCAGAACCATCCTTGAAAGCGTCAGCAAAACATACATCACCAGCCTCACGCATATGGTCTTTCAAATCTTGCCAAGATCCGGAAGGAGGCAATCCTAGCAAACAAAACATTAGAAAACAAATACATCTCGTTACACTGTAAACACACTTACCGGTTACGAGTACTCTAAACTGTGATCTACGTGTTGGGGGGCCTCTAGAGCTACGTCCTCTGTCTCCGCCCCCTCTGCCTCCTCTGAAACTTCCATGGCCACCGCCTCTGGGGAATTCAACCCTTAATCTGTACCCATCATAGTCGTAACCGTCTCTGGCATGTACGGCGTCGTCAGCATCCCTTAAAAATAATAAGTGTTTAGTTTTCTGGTACTTTCTAGTGGTTTCAAACTCACCTAGGGTCTTCAAACTCTACAAAAGCAAATGGAGGACCGCGTCGGTTTTTTAAATCTACAAACGTGACTTTTCCGAATTTGTAGAATAAATCCTGGATATCCTTGGTGCGTATGTCTGGAGGTAGGTTTCCCACGTATATTCTACAATCATTGCGACTGCTCGACATTTTATATGTTTAACTGAAATTATACAAAGACTTGAATAAAAAGAAGCTGCGTTTTTAAAACGGAAATGGCGACTAGGCGTTTGGCAATGGCAAGCGGACGCGGAAATGATCGAAGTGGCGTTGATAGCAACGGAAAGTCACGATTGTAATATAAACAGTACTACCAATAAGAAATAACAAAAACACTTTGAATTTTCCACATACTCTAGGATAGAAGTATGTGGAATTTTCAAAAAAAAATGTACGTAGTAAGGTTTAAATCATGGAGACTATAGTACGATCGTATACGATGCAAAGTAGAGCAAAAAATTGTCGGTCTTTTATCAAAGGAAAATCGTGTCATCATTTTTAGGAGGCGTAAGATGAACCGTTTCAAATTTAAAATGAAATTGAATGTAAAATCTGAAATACCGCCGCATACGCACTGTGTTCTGGTACTAGCTGTAGTCGGCCAGGTGCATCGAGTGTACGAAGTGGTCGGTTATACGTCAAATACTAACCTGGCGAGCTTGATCGTAGAGCAGGGAACAATAAACAGTGGCGCGTACAGAGGTGAAATGTAGTACTTATGTGGAATTTAAATAACGAATTGGATTTATAATAAATTACATTTAAAACAAATAGTTTATGAGAATAAAGGGATTTTTGTAGGAACAGGGTTCCAGACGTGAACTGATCTCTTCATCGCACCCCATTACGATTCTTTTTTTTATAAGGAGAACGAAGTTTCAAAGCAAAAACCTTGTATAACANTTTGAAAATTTCTTCAATGGTTTGATGAAAACTTAATTCTGGATTTTTCTTGGACCATGAAGAGCAACCTTGAACTGAACAATAATAGTTTGACAGTTTCTTCTTTCTATCCATAATTGCTGAAATTTTCCTTACACTATTTTCTTAAAATAACAGTGTTCAAAAAACGAACACTAAATACAGTTTTAAATAAAATACAAAAGGAAATGTCACACACAGAAGAAATATTTACCTTGTTTCGCTAGTATCACTTGTCACCGCCAGAGGGCGAGCTCTTAGCTGCATTCGCGATCCATCAATCTCCATCAATCTATTGTCTCTGGTCTCCATGTTGCGAGGTTTCACGCGCACTTCAACTCGTTTGCCAGCTCGAGATTTTATTCTGAACGGCTACATTGGAATGCGAAAGGTAAGCACGCGTGGCCAAGTCAGACTTCGCCCGCGAATTGATTGTGAATGGGGTTTAAGAAGTAGTGATGGGAGATTTCGAGTGAAAAATCGAGTGGTACTCGATTATTGAGATCACTCGAGATATCTCGAGAGATTTTCATAATCGATATAATCGATAATTTTCATTCGAGTAGTCCCATCACTAGTTTAAATATTGCCTTACGGGCTTTTTATGTGACGTAGACCGAAGGTAACTTTAATGGAATCATTTTTACGATCTACTTACGATGTCTTTTTCGTACATAAACAGAATAATCTGACGACCTATCAGTTTAATTATGTTTTCTTATTAAGAAACGAGAAAAGCGCGCAGGAGAAACCTCGAAGAAAATTGAATTAGCTATCTCTATTTTTTCTATATCAATACTTTTCACTTTTGAAATCGAACTAATCGAAGTGAAGTTAATGTCCAGGTAATTCAGCTAGGCACCTTCAGTGTGTCTCTAACTTTATTCATAAATGACGTTCTAGCGAATCAATTTTTTTCCGCGTATAAAATCGCATGCTTTTGCAACTGTCTTTGCTCTTTTCAGGTTTTTCTCTAATCAGTGCCATTTTCAGTGCCAGACAGCGGGTCACTTGTCACTTGCAGTGAAAACCAGAAGATCCTAGATTAGAGAAGTATCAGAAGATTCTCCAGCGGCCATAAAAAATTTCCAGCGGCACATGAAAAGGATGCCCTCCCCCCAGCAAATTCCAGGCCGTCATCGCCGATATTAACAACGTTCTTCGGTCGCTTCGTGGGGAGGCAATTATGCTGGGTAAATACTTTAAATAAAATCTGCAGCGTTTCATTAAGGCATTTATATCTCTTTTCTAGGAGCGGTGATAAGCCAGGCCATTAACAACCATTACAACTCTAAGAAGTAGTGATGGGAGATTTCGAGTGAAAAATCGAGTGGTACTCGATTATTGAGATCACTCGAGATATCTCGAGATGTTTACTCCCACCACTCGAGTGATTATTACCCTACGGTTGCACCCCAAAATGTTAGTGCATACTGCAAATAGTCACTGATTGCGTAAGCTTTTTTTTATAATAAAACGAAAAAGTGGTTAGGTTTTGAAGTGCGTGAGCTTTTTTTATATATGACTAATACAAACATATTTGTGCGCCGCTGGGATGAAAACGACCAATATCTCGTATCTCGATTACTGATAACTCGATTATCAAAATTGGTCGATTATGCCCATCACTACTAAGAAGTAAGAACGCGGCTCGGACTCGACGTCTCCAAGTGGCCTATAACACCATGGTCAGTAGTGTTGGCTAGTGAGTGTATGTTTCGAATCAGAGAGTCGACTCTTGGCTTAGATCATCTGAGTCGACTCCCAAAATATGTAAGAGTCGACTCCGATGATTCACCGACTTCCGTGTGGAGTGTCGAATCCGTTATAGTGTACAGCTGAACCACCAGGGCCTAGAGTCAGATGTGAGTCAGATTCGTTTTGCGATTTGGATCGTCGTGTAGCTGTGCCTGTGATAACTAATATTTAGTGATTTGCAAGTCATTTGATACTGATAGGGAGTAAAGAGTGTGGGCAACAATGGCCACAATCTATAGGGAAAAACGGTAGCAAACGGTTTGCGTTTGTATTTGTAAACGTTTGAAGAGACTATATGCTTTATCGTCGCATTCATTCGCATTTTTGTATGACGACAAATTTCAGTGAAAGAACTAAGTACATAACCCTTGACTGCAGTGGAAGAATTAATTTCAATTTTAGTCGTTTTAGTAAACAAATATGTAATCGAATTATCGGTCAAGCTCAAGATCGACAAAATTCGTCAATCGGCCCAGATTCCGCTATTTCCGTCCGTTCCGAGACGGGCCACCGTGATTATGCGAATTACGAACTTAGCGATTCGATATCTACCATGGGAGTTGGGAGTCGGAAGAGTCGGCTCCCAGTTTCGACTCTCAACTTTGAAATGAGTCATTTGATTCGAAACATCAAAATGAATCGTTTTGCTCATCACTAATGGTCAGAACTCATCTGCGTCATTTTAACCTGCTCTACAATGAAGGCTTAAATGCCTTAGAATAACAAGTAGAGCAGGTTTTAAATGACGCAGAAGAAGAGCTGCCACCACCTATAGAGTCCGAGCTGCTAGCCAGATCACCGCCTCAGCTCGATAACCCTCCCCCGAAGAGGAGACGGCGGGGGGCTAACGCACAATATGTCGCGGAGGGTCTCCAGTTCTTGCAGTAGACGTGACGCACTGGTTTATTCTCAATGGGGAGTTGCATTTGTAAAAAAAATCTTTCTCTATTTCCAAAATGGATGTTTCCTAATGATATCCTTTAAAATTCGAGGTGGGTGGGAGGTTCCCAAAAAAAAATATTTTTTCGTTCCCCGGCTCAAGCTGAAATGGCTACCAATGCCGCGCACCGCTTGAATTGATCTGGCATTCCCAAAAAACCGAGAGTCAACTGTTACTTTGACTCAGTAAAAATCAAAACATAAACATAACCTATAATGTCAGAAACTCACGCAAAAATTGTCATTCCATTTGAGTGTGTAGTCTCCATGCCATTGATATTGCACCAGAAATCTGTCAAAAGTCAATCTGTTTTGGTCCGTGCCCCTAGATTAGAGAAGTATACGTGCCGTAGTTTCTATTTCTGTTTTCTGTTGCACATACACATTACAATTGTATTAAATTAAAAACACGTATACAGAGGTTTCATATAGCTACTTATTGATTTTAGAAATAATCTACATTTACTTAAAACATGGATTTTATAAGCAAAATTCCAACGCATATGGTAAATTGACAAAACTTCCTGAATATCGTCATGTAGGTACATTATTTTTTTGTAGGACTTTGAGGGTCAAGCAAGGGCTGAAAAGTTATCTCGAATAATAATTACTCTATTTGGTGCAGTAGGATTGATTTGGGGGTACATCATTCAGCAATTTTCACAAACAGTGTATATTTTAGGTGCTGGGTTTGTGCTGGCTGCACTTGTAAGTAAACAGTTTAATTTACTGGGAATTTTCTAAAAACCCCAATATTTCAGTTAACCATTCCTCCTTGGCCTATGTACAGAAGAAAGCCATTAAATTGGCAACCGGCTAAGAACGGTGACGGTCAAGGGAAAGAAGGATCCAAAAAAGGGAAAAAGAAATAAGTTGTGTTGATTATATTTTCATACTAAAATAAAATGTACCTACCCTTTTTAAGTATTGGGCTTATTTTTTGTGTGTACCTACATGATATCCTGAAACAATAGAAAAATTAGATACATCCATGTGATCCAGAAATTGCGAGATCATGTAGTATTAAATATGTTGTGCCAAATTCAGTTAAAAAATATTAAGGTTATGTGACTAGACAGCTGTCAAGTTTTTTTGCAAGCAAAAGCTAGTTTGTTTATCTAACCTATTGGTAAAATTTATGTGAGAAAACCAAATGTTTAGTTTAAAGTATTTAGGTGTTCCTCAAGCTTTATATATAATTTATATTTATTTCACAAATTTAGTAAGTACTAGTAGATTTGGTTGTATTTATTTAACTGAAAGTATTGATTTGTGTTATCTATGAGTCAACTTGATGACTTGAAGAGAAAACGTTATCTTTGTATTAAATATCAGCTTAAAAAATACTATTTTTAAGACAATTCAGAAATAGCAAAAATCTAGAATTTATATACCATCTGTATTTTTATCAATATCAAGTTCATTTTTAATAATTCCACTACTATTATTTCATAGGTTTCGGGAAATTACTATTGTGAATTTGGAATATGTGAAGATGATCAATATTGCTGTGGAGAAAACAGATGTTGTAAAAAAACGGTACAAGTTTGGTATTTTTGGTAATATGGGTTTTACCGCCTCTTAAAATGATCCTGAATTTTTTTTTTTTTTAGGGCTGGCATACTTTTGATAGTTATAGCATTTTTTGTAGCAATTGGTTTCTATATTGGAAGAAAGAAAAACAACAACGGCTACAAAAGGGTGCTTTGTGATGAGAAAGAACCAGTTCTGTAATGATCGCTTAATTAGTATATTATGTCCAATGCATAACTTTTCTATAGATATTCACATTGAGAATCCTTATATTTTTCTTAAGCTTTCCATGTGTAGTCTAGTCAGATTTACATATTATACACCTAACTAATAAATATATTTTTCTTAAAACGATTTATTTAAACCCTTAAATATAGTAACATGAGGTAAAGATTCTTGTAAATAATAAGTATACTAAAAAGTATTTCTTAAATTTCCTCCGATTTACCAAAGCAGGCTGAAAACAAACAAAATTAGAATGATAATGAAAAGAATGTTTCACAGCTTACTTTGAGACACTAATTTCTGGCATTCCTGGATCTGCTCCCTTTTGGAAACCTTTAGGTGAAAGAAAAACACGTTAAATCTGCACGAAGCAGCCGGAACAATTAAAAAATTTCTTACCTAAATATAAAACTGTAGGAATAAAACCGTAATGAAAAACTATTTTTGCCCCTTCAATGACTAGAGAAAGTCGCTGTTTAGCTCCCTCGGACAAACCCATGATGATTTAATTTGTAAAATTTGAATTTGAGCCACAAGAATTTATAGTGTATAATTGTATGCTGTAATCATAAAATAATATTGTAATTACAAATATCCAGTAACTTCCTAACGTGATTCTAACCTTTCTCTTTGTACCATAGAACTAGCATCGAACATCGAAGCATCGAGTAGTGTTGGCTAGTGAGCGTATGTTTCGAATCAGAGAGTCGACTCTTGACTGAGATCATCTNACCTACGAAGGCTGTCCAGGCCTACACGAGATGAGGCAGGATAAAGAGGGATAATCCCCCTCGATCCCAAATCATTGAGGCCAATTTCTAGCCATGGAATAATGGCGCGCGTGGCGCGACTCCCAAAATATGTAAGAGTCGACTCTCGACGATTCAATATGTAGCGTAATCGTGATCGACCTGTGCCTACTTCCGTGTGGAGTGTCGAATCCGTTATAGTGAACACTGTACAGCTGAACCACCAGGGCCGAGAGTCAGATGTGAGTCAGATTCGTTTTGCGATTGGGATCGGCGTGTAGCTGTGCCTGTGATCACTGTATTTAGTGATTTGCAAGTCGTTTGATACTGATAGGGAGTAAAGAGTGTGGGCAACAATGGTCGCAATCTACAGGGAAAAAGGGTAGCAAACGGTTTGCGTTTGTATTTGTAAACATTTAAAGAGAATATATGCTTTATCGTCGCATTCATTTGAATTTTTGTATTACATACAAATAGGTACTACACCCTTGACAACAAATTTATTGAAAAAACTAAGTACGTAACCCTTGACTGCAGTGGAAGAACTAATTTCAATTTTAGTCGTTGTTTCAGTAAACAAATATGTGTAATCGAATTATCGGTCAAGTTCAAGATCGACAAGATTCGTCAAGCGGTCGCTATTTCCGTCCGTTCCGAGACGGAGCCACCGTGATTATGCGAATTACGAACTTGGCGATTCGATATCTACCATGGGAGTTGGGAGACGGAAGAGTCGGCTTCCAGTTTCGACTCTCAAATTTGAAATGAGTCATTTGATTCGAAACATCAAAATGAATCGTTTTGCCCATCACTAGCATCAAGCATCAGAAGTTTGTACAATTAAGTAAGGGCCCCATAGACTGCGTTCAATTCGCGCGAATTGCGCCGTACGAATCTGCACGAACGTGCATGTGTGAAGAAAAAAGCTGTACGGTTTCACTGTCGTGTAAAATCTGTTTCGGTTAGATACGGTGCCTTTCTTGGTTTGAGAGATTTGGTCCGTACGGTCCTATTCGGTAGCGGTACGAATGGAATGAGGTCTCTGGGGGCACTTTACCACAGTGTTTAATTCTGTGACTTTACATATCAATAACATGCAAGTATATTTCATTATTTTCATCATTTCATCACAACAGCTTTTGGGTGTACCGGTTGAAGCACTCCTCATGTATTTTACGCGTTCCAGAGTGCACAGGAGTGTGACACATCAGGGTGTTCTACTTTAGAGATGGGGCGAATCTCCTACTTTAGGATAACAGTTATAGCAGCGACTGTAATCTTTAAAATGAAGACTAAGCGCTATCGTACTGGATACTGGATGTGCTACTTTCTGTTCGTGCCGCACTGCGTTCGCCGTCTTCGATCTTTAGTATTTAGATTTTAAGTATTTTAGATCTAACTTTATCATAAGGAGTTATTTTTAAAAACAGATCGCAGTCAAAAGCTGCTTCAGCCAAATAAATGTTAAAAAATAGTAGATTATGAAACAGCAGCGCACCCCTACTCTACTCTCGACTTTTCTTCCCCACTGACCATTGAACAGCATTAATTTCACATTTATATATTTTTTTAAATTATCGTTTGCCACACTTTTAAGTTAAAGCAATACCTGAAAATGTAACCCATTGTGGAAAATGTATGTACTTAAGTGGCCACTACTCGGAAGCAGTCAATTGTATCGTTACATGTATTGCTTAAATAAAGAGTAATATAAGTATGTATAACGACATCCTCTGTTCCTTGAGGCATACAAAACAGTTTCCAACAGTCGGACGCATGCGCATTCCAATGTAATGCCTACATAAAATTTCAAATTAATTGTTTCGAATCAAATGCAATTGCGTCTAAGTGTTGCAAACTGTTTTTAATGCACTAGGAACAAAGCTATAGTCGGACTTAACGAAAAAAAATAAAAATTGGATCTGTGAACAAAACTAGACAGAAAAAATTAAACAAGGAATGTTTGTGCACATTATAACACCATGAGAAATATGTTGCTCATCTCAGTCTGTTACTTTTATTGGAGATGTATATCCGTAGTGACAAGTGCTTTTTTTTTGTCGATACCAGTAGATACATTTAAAAAAAATTTAAACATGTATTGGTCGAGCCATTCCCATCAAATTAATTATGAACAGTTTAATATATTTCAAAACCAATTTTCTTGGACTGGCGTCATATTGAAAGAATCGACTCTTACAGCTGTAGTACTGGGCATTTTTATTCTGCACATGTAGTACTCATAATGAACAATTTCGATTTTGGAAAAAGTATGTATTCAACTGGCCGCTACTACAAAGCAGTCGATTGTATCTTTCCAGGCAATACCTTAAAAAGTGTTAAGTTTAAAGAATTGTAGATAGTGTAAATGAAACATTATCTTCATTTCACTTGCAATAAAATGACACAATGGTAAATTTCTGTGATACTACAGTCAAAATTCAAATATATAAAATCAAAACGTCCAAAAATGAAGACACTATTACTATTAGTTTGGTATCACAGTGGTTCTATTTCTTTCATTAAATGAAGTTCGCTTTATCTATAAAATCTCAGGACGATTTTTAAGAGTATCTTTTCCACCATTTCTTTTAACACGAAATACTGTAAACATTCAATTTCTATACAGGGTGTCCCGAAATTCATACAACAAAATTTGGTCATAGATTCTTAAGACCAATTTAGGGGACCCGTATTTTTTCTTTTTGCCAACTGGCTCCCTCTTTCGGAGTTACAGCCCCCTGAAATCTGCCCCTTTATATATCAAAATCATGTTGTACGAGAATCACTAAATTTGGTACACAGGTAACGGAGGCGTTTTATAACATGTGGAATCTTACAGTGCTACGCTTTTTGGCGAGAAACCACCTTAAGATACTTTTTCGTGGGCCCCCTTGTCTTTGGAACCAGAAAAATTAGGTCGCAAATTTGAATTTTTTAAAAATTATTAGTTAGCTAGAAAGCCATTGAATTTAGAAACTTTTTTGTCACTTGATATTTGTTTCGTAAAACACAATGTTTTTGAGGAAAATGGCAAATCACGATATTCATTCGATCACATTTTGACATTTTTCTCGAAAACATTGCGTTTTACGAAAAAAGTATAAAGAGACAAAATGTTTCTATATTTAATGGTTTTCTAATGGACTGATAATTCTTAAAAAATTTAAATATGTGACCAAATTTTGTTGGCTCCAAAGACAAGGGGGTCCACGAAAAATTGTCTTAAGGGGGTTCCCCACCAAAAAACGTAGCACCATCAGATTCCACATGTCATAAAACCCCTGTGTACCAAATTTAGTGATTCTCGTACAACATGGTTTTGAGATATAAAAAAGACTTCTTAGGGGCAGATTTCAGGGGGCTGTAA